GGGGGCGGGGGGAAGGAGACAGAGAGAAACATCGATGTGAGAGAAACATCAATTGGTTGCCTCCAGCAGGAGCCCTGACCTGGGCCCCGGGCCGGGGAGGAGCCTGCAACCAAGGTACATGCCCTTGACTGGAATCGAACCCGGGACCCTTTGGTCCGCAGGCTGATGCTCTATCCACTGAGCCAAACCGGCTAGGGCACAAAATGATTCTTGATGGTTACAATTCCATTGTGTTATCAGCAGTGCCTGGACCAGAATGGTCATCAGTTGGAAAACAGGCATTGACCAAAAAATTACTCTTTGGATTATTTTAAATTTTGAAAATGAACTGTGTTAATAAACACTGACTTTTTAATCATTCAAAGTGCGTATACATTTGTGGGGACACCCTGTGGTTCATTATTGCCTACTTAATGTCTACAGGATCTATAATGATGCTCCTGTTCTTATTTCTGATATTTTCTTTTTTTTCTCTTCATCCCCAACCGAGGATATTTTTCCATTGATTTTTAGAGAGAGTGGAAGAGAGAGGGAAAGACAAAGATAAATATCGATGTGAGAGAAGTACATCGATTGATTGCCTCCTGACCAAGACCTGGGCCGGGGAGGAGCCCGAAACCAAGGTACGTGGCCTTGACCAGAGTAGAACCCAGGACCTTTCAGTTCTCAGGTCGACACTCTATCCACTGAGCCAAATCGGCTAGAGCAGTGATGGCGAACCTTTTGAGCTCGGCGTGTCAGCATTTTGAAAAACCCTAACTTAACTCTGAAATTTTTTGATATTTGCAACCATAAAACAAAGACTTATATTTTTGATATTTATTTTATATATTTAAATGCCATTTAACAAAGAAAAATCAGCCAAAAAAATGATTTCGCGTGTCACCTCTGACACGCGTGTCATAGGTTCGCCATCACTGGGTCGCTAGGACATTTCCTGATATTTTCCACTGAGCCAAACCGGTTCGGCAATTTCCTGATATTTTCAATCTGCATTTCCTTTCTTTTCTATCAGCTCCTGAAAGGGAATTGTTGACATTTCCAAGTATGATCATGATTTATCGCTTTCTTGCTTTAGTTTGAAAAAATTTTTTTAAAAAATATATTTTATTGATTTTTTTACAGAGAGGAAGGGAGAGGGATAGAGAGTCAGAAACATTGATGAGAGAGAAACATCGATCAGCTGTCTCCTGCACACTCCCTACTGGGGATGTGCCCACAATCAAGATACATGCCCTTGACCGGAATCGAACCCGGGACCCTTCAGTCTGCAGGCTGACACTCTATCCACTGAGCCAAACCGGTCAGGGCTGGAAATTTTTTTAAAAATATATATTTTTATTGATTTCAGAAAGGAAGGGAGAGAGAAGGGAGATAGAAACATCAATGATGAGAGAGAATCATTGATTGGCTGCCTCCTGCACACCCCCTACTGGGGATCGAGCCCGCAACCCAGGCATGTGCCCTTGACTGGAATTGAACCTGGGACCCTTCAGTCTGCAGGCTGATGCTCTATCCACTGAGCCAAACCAGCTGGGGCTAGTTTGGAACATTTTTTATTTTGAAAGTCTGTTTTGAGGTATATAAACATTTATTATTATTATTACTTTTTGGTATATAAACATTTAGATAATCCAGTCTTCCTGCTGAATTGACCCTTTTATCATCATGACATGCTTTTCTTAATCTCTGGTATTACTTGTTCTGACTTTGATATTAATATAGCCACACCAGCTTTCTTGTGATTATTTGTGCATGGTATATTTTTCCATCCTCTTAACTTCATTTTTTTAGCATTTACTTTTCTTTTATAACATCATTTTTTTGTTTTGTTTTTGTTAATCCTCACCTGAGGATATTGTCTCCACTGATTTTTTTAGAGAGAGTGAGAGGGAGGGAAGGAAGGAAGGAAGGAGAGAGAGAAACATTATGTAAGAGATACACATGGGTTGGTTGCCTCTGGCACGCACCCCAACCAGGGCTGGGTGTCAAATCTGCAACCCAAATACGTGCCCTTGACTGGGAATCAAACCCAATACCCTTAGATGAGTGGGCCAATGCTCTAACCACTGAGCCACCAACCAGGGCCATTCTCTGAACTCGAAACCTCTGTGTCTTTACACAGGGCCTCTCTTGTAAACAGGATATGTTTGTTGCCTTAGCCAGTCTGGTAACCACTGCCTTTTACATAAGGTGATTAATTGACGTAATTATTGACAGGATTTGATGTATGCCTACCTTCTCGCTAGTTGTTTCTTTGTCTCTTCTCTCTTTTTCCTATTTTTTGGGTGGGGGGAATATTTACCAAATAATTTTGTTTATATTTTACCTTTTCTATTGCCTTCTTGTGGCATGTTTTTTTGTTGTTGTGGTTTTTTTTTTTTTTTTTTTTTTAGTATTTTTATTTTACTCTACAGCTGTGCTAAAACAGTGGCCACTAACAGGATGTGGCTGTGAACACTTGAAATATGACTAATATGACCAAGGAAATACATTTTAAATTAAATTTTAATTTAAAATTTACAAGATAGGTTATTCAGTTATTGAGAAGCTTTTAAGTATATTCAGAACAACTTGGGTATGTGAAACTGCTTTTTCAACAGCATTCTCTTATGAAATCTAATAGAAACCAAAATTGAGCCCTAGCCGGTTTGGCTCAGTGGATAGAGCCTCGGCCTACAGACTGAAGGGTCCCAGGTTCGATTCCAGTCAAGGGCACATGCCTGAGTTGCGGGCTCCATCCCCAGTAGGGGGCGTGCAGGAGGCAGCCAATCCATGATTCTCTCTCATCATTGATGTTTCTATCTCTCCCTCTTCCTTCCTCTCTGAAATCAATAAAAATATATTTTAAAAAAAAGAATTGATTTTGAAATCTTTACACCATTTGTAACTTATGGAAACCTTTAGAAGTCACGTCTCTGAGACCATTTTCTTATCTATAAAAGTAAAGTGGTGGCCATTAGAATATTGCCTTTTTGGCTGTTTTCTCTGACTTATTAATATACATTTATTATTATTATTATTATTATTATTATCATTATTATTAACTATTGGTGAGGTTTGAGCTTGACAGCCTATGAGCCTGGGGAATTGCTAAGGTAGAGAGAGGGAGGGGGGATCTCTTCTTGGACCTGCGAGGCTGTGAGTACTCACTTCTCCACACAGGCCTGGCCACTGGTGGTGATCCACAGCCCCAGCACCGTGAAGATGATTGCCGTGGCCACCAAGGAGGTCACCAGGTTGGCCATAGCCACCAAGACCACCAGGATACAGTTGTTGCTTCCAGCCTTGTAGGAGCAGATGTTGATGGTGGTGCCCAGGCCCAGGCCCAGTGAATAGAGGACGTGGCCCCCCGCCTGATGCCACAGGTCCAGCGAGGTCCAGGAAGAGCGCTGCGGATGGAGGTGGGTTCGGGCAGTTTGGGTGTGGGCCCAGAGGGTGGGCCCCCCCGTGAGCGGGAAGAGGGGTCGGCTGGGGCGGAAGGAAAGGAGGTGGCGGGGAAGGAGATTCAGAGAAGTTCTGAGGGAGGGAGAAGGTGTGGAGTCCCCGGCCTCACCTCGATCGTCACCATACGTTTGAGGCCGGTGGCTGCACCTTCCAGGAAGAAGCATCGGACCAGGAGGCCGAGTAAGAGGATGTAGGGGATGAATATCGTGATAATCAGGAGCTGTCCAGGTGGGTCAGGACAGAAACCGGAAGTCAGGAGCCGTGGGGAGGCGGGGAAGACAGAGGCAAGCATTAGCAGGCGACCACAGAGCAGCAGGCGTAGAGAAGTGGAGGTGAGCAGTGTTAAGGAACCCACCCTCTTCCTGGGGGCCCCTGCTGGAGAGGCGGGGTGGCCATAGCTGAGCTGTCGTCTGGGTGAGGAGGAGGGCCATGGAGGTGGGAGGAGAGAGATCATCAGGAAGGGAGTTGGGTAGTGTCTGGACTGAGATCCTGAGAATCTCAAGATGTGTCAAGGTGAAGGGGTGGTGGGCCCAGGGTCGGGGCGGCTTACCGGCATGGAGAGCTTTAGCCCTGTGATTATGATAATGAAGAGGAGTAACCAAGTTCCTAGGGTCCCCACGGTGAGATTCAGGACGAGGTGCTCGCTCCCTTCCTCAATGTTGACGGGGGCATTCAGGGTGGTTTCGTACCAGAAGTACTGGTAGGGCACAGTCCGAACGCAGGAGAGGCCTGGGGAAGCCAGGCGCTGCGGCACCGCCTCACCTGGAGCCTACCTCTGCTCTCCCCCTACCTCCTTCTGCTCTTGCTTCTTGGTCCCCTTGCCTCCCTCGGCCCTGCCAGCCCTCCCTCTCCCTCTCCTCACCGGTGACGTTGTTCAACACTGGGCACTGGGTCCAGGGCAGAGGGTGGTAGAAGGAGTTGCCCAGGTAGTAGAAGCTCCAGCTGATGATGACGCTGTTATACATGCTCACTATGATGCACACCTGGGGGTGGACATAGTGGGCCTGAGGGGTGGGCAGGGTGGAGACAGGGGACTTGGAGACCACAAGGGGTGAGGGGAGCTAGGGTGCCTCTTGGCCAAGGCCCTCATTCACCAGCATGCTAACGTAGCCTAGGCCTCCCAGCAGGGGGACGAGATGTTTCCAGATCCGGATGCTGTCTACGCGCAGCCATTGTCCCATGACCATCTCCATGTACAAGAGGGGAATCCCGAACAAGAAGAGCAGGAGGAAGTATAACAGGATAAAGTCACCTGAAGAAGGGGGCCAGGAGCTGTGCTTTAGGCAGCCAGGAGTCCTGGCCCCCATCCTCCCTTATGATAGCTTTTCTCCTGCATCCTATGAACATGATGTATAACATTAATTGGTTTACTCTACGGGGGTGAGGGATGGTGTGCCCTCCCTCAGTTCTGGGCGTCCTCCCTGAGTTCCCTCCTCTCCCAGAACCCAGAAGTCTAGACTTCTATCCTCAAAATGTCTTCCTGAAACTCAGGATCTAGGTCCCTGGCCTTACCTCCTCCATTCCGATGACAAAGGTAAGGGAAACGCCACATGCTGCCCAGCCCAAAGGAGAAGGCAATCTGGAGTAAGATAGTCTCCGTTCTTTTTGTCTGAACAACGAAGTTTTGGGTCTTGCCGGTCAGACTCTTGCCTGGGAGTCTCAGGGGCGAGGATGAGAAGGTCTGGGATTGTTTGTGGGACTCTGTCTCTCTGTTTTCAAAGGACGCCATGGCTTTCTTCTGACAGGTCCAATAACTCCCGAGGGAATCCTGGGATCACCAAAAATAGCAGACTTTCAGGGCCATGTCTCAGATACCAGACTGTAAAACTCCACAAGGAAGACGAATGTAGAACAATGAGGGCTAGAGTTTAAATCTTGGCCCTTTTCACTAGTCATTGACTTAGGGCAAATATTTTCATCTCTCTGAGACTCAATTTTCTCCTCTTACAAGCACAAAAGAATTGAAAAATATTTAATGACCGTTACAGCATGAGCACTGAACAATCAGATTGTGGAACAAGTTATTCTTTAGAGCTTTAGGGGGGAAAAAGGAAAAAGAAAGAAGGAGAAATTATCTGGAATTTTAGTGGATCCTAAAATCTGGGTGTGGTGAGGGGAAGAGAAAAAGAGAAGTTTCCTAAAACCACTGTCATCCCAAAGTTATGGTGCATGTCTGAGGCTGTGTCCTTTGAGGATTATATAGTAGGATTTATCCCAGGAATGCAAGGTTGGTTCAACATCTGAAAATCAATCATTGTTATACATCATGTAAATAGAATACAGGACAAAAGCTATCATCATATTTTTTGGAAGAAAATGGCAGGCTAGCCCTAGCCAGTTTGACTCAGTGGATAGAGTATCCACCTGTGGACAGAGTTCAATTCAAGTCAAGGGCATGTACCTCAGTTGCAGGCTTGATCCCCAGCCCTGGTTGGGGTGAATGCAGGAGGCAACTAATCAATGTGTCTCTCTCACATTGATTTTTTAAAATAATATTATTGATTTCAGAGAGGAAGGGAGAGGGGAGAGAGAGATAGAAACATCAATGATGAGAGAGAATCATTGATCAACTGCCTCCTGCATGCCCCCTACTGAGGGAGAGAGAGATAGAAACATCAATGATGAGAGGGAATCATTGATCAACTGCCTCCTGCACGCCCCCTACTGGGGATCGAGCCCACAACCTGGGCATGTGCCCTTGACCGGATTCAAACCTGGGACCCTTCAGTCCACAGGCGGACGCTCTATCCACTGAGTCATCAAACCAGCGGCTCACATTGATGTTTCTGTCTCTCCCTCTCCCTTCCACTCTCTCTAAAAATCAATGTGGAAAAAAATCAATGTAAAAGATACTCAGGTGAATATTAACAACCACAACAAAAATGACAAGCTGGTGGTAAAATTCATATGAAAATCTGAGGAGCTTAGTACAGTTAACATAATCATGAAAAATAATGTTGAATACTCATACTTACCAATTTGAAAACTTACTACAATGCTATGGTAATCAAAGCAGAGTGATACTGGAATAAAGATACACATATAGAACAATAGGATAGAATAAAGAACCCAGAAATAAACCTTCACATATATAGTCAAATAATTGTTAACAAGGATACCAAGGATATTCAGTGGGAGAAAGGATTGCCTGTGCAACAAATGGTATTGAAAAACTGGATAGCCGAAACCGGTTTGGCTCAGTGGATAGAGCGTCGGCTTGCGGACTGAAAGGTCCCAGGTTCGATTCCCATCAAGGGCATGTACCTGGGTTGCGGGCACATCCCCAGTAGGGGGTGTGCAGGAGGCAGCTGATCGATGTTCCTCTCTCATCGATGTTTCTAACTCTCTATCTCTCTCCCTTCCTCTCTGTAGAAAATCAATAAAAAATATATTAAAAAAAAAAGAAAAACTGGATATACACATGGAAAATAACGAAGTGGGACCCTTTCCTCACACTATGTACAAAAACTAACTAAAAATGGATGAAAGACCGAAATTTAAGGGTGAAACTATAAATCTCTTAGAAAAAAAACATATGGGTAGATCTTCATTTCCTTAGATTTGGTCATGGTTTTTAAAATATGACACTGAAATATGTCCTTTTGTGCATCAAATGACACTAACAAGCAAGTAAAAAAAATAACCACAGAATGGGAGAAAAATATTTGCAAGGCATGTATCTCCTAAGAGTCTAGAATATATAAAAAACTCTTATAACCGAACAACTGAAAAACCAAGCAACACAGTTAAAAATGGTCAAAGAACTTGAGTAGACATTTCTTCCAAAAAGATATACAAATGGCCAACAAACACATGAAAAGTTGCCCAGCATATCAAATCATCAGGGAAATGAGATACCATTTCACACCCACTAGGATGGCAATAATAATAATAATAATAATAGGAAATGATGCCTGGCTGGTGTGGCTCAGTGGTTAAGTATCAACCTATGAATCAAGGAGATCTCAGTTCAATTCCCAGTCAGGACATATGTCCGGGTTGCAGGCTCAATCCCCAATATGGGGGGCATGCAGGGGGCAACTGATGGATGATTCTCATCATTGATGTTTCTGTCTCCCTTTCCCTTCCTCTCTGAAATCAATGAAAACATAGTTTTTAAGAAACAAAACTGAGGATGTGCTGGTGGGAATGTGAAATGGTGCAGCCACTGTGGAAAACTGGCAGTTCCTCAGAAAGTTAAACATAGAATTACCATAGGATTGAGCAATCCCACTTTGGGGTTTATACAGAAAATAATTGAAAGCAGGGATGCAAACTGATACTTGCACACCAATGTTCAGACCAGCACTATTCACAATAGCCAAAAGGTTGAAATAACCCAACTGTCCATCAACAGATGAAAGACTAAACAAACTGTGGTATATCCATATAATGGGATATTATTCATCCATAAAAGGAATTAAATTCCCCAGAAATACCTTCACATATATAGTCAAATAATTGTTAACAAGGATACCAAGGATATTCAGTGGGAGAAAGGATTGCCTGAGCAACAAATGGTATTGAAAAACTAGATATACACATGAAAAATAATGAAGTGGGACCCTTTAAAAGATACCATGATTTTATTATTTTTTAAAAATATTTTTTATTGATTTTAGAGAGGAAGAGAGAAGAAGAGAGAGAGAAACATCATTGATGAGAGAATCATTGATAGGCTGCCTCCTGCACTCTATCTCTCTCCCTTCCTCTCTGTAGAAAATCAATAAAAAATATATTAAAAAAAAAAGAAAAACTGGATATACACATGGAAAATAACGAAGTGGGACCCTTTCCTCACACTATGTACAAAAACTAACTAAAAATGGATGAAAGACCGAAATTTAAGGGTGAAACTATAAATCTCTTAGAAAAAAAACATATGGGTAGATCTTCATTTCCTTAGATTTGGTCATGGTTTTTAAAATATGACACTGAAATATGTCCTTTTGTGCATCAAATGACACTAACAAGCAAGTAAAAAAAATAACCACAGAATGGGAGAAAAATATTTGCAAGGCATGTATCTCCTAAGAGTCTAGAATATATAAAAAACTCTTATAACCGAACAACTGAAAAACCAAGCAACACAGTTAAAAATGGTCAAAGAACTTGAGTAGACATTTCTTCCAAAAAGATATACAAATGGCCAACAAACACATGAAAAGTTGCCCAGCATATCAAATCATCAGGGAAATGAGATACCATTTCACACCCACTAGGATGGCAATAATAATAATAATAATAATAGGAAATGATGCCTGGCTGGTGTGGCTCAGTGGTTAAGTATCAACCTATGAATCAAGGAGATCTCAGTTCAATTCCCAGTCAGGACATATGTCCGGGTTGCAGGCTCAATCCCCAATATGGGGGGCATGCAGGGGGCAACTGATGGATGATTCTCATCATTGATGTTTCTGTCTCCCTTTCCCTTCCTCTCTGAAATCAATGAAAACATAGTTTTTAAGAAACAAAACTGAGGATGTGCTGGTGGGAATGTGAAATGGTGCAGCCACTGTGGAAAACTGGCAGTTCCTCAGAAAGTTAAACATAGAATTACCATAGGATTGAGCAATCCCACTTTGGGGTTTATACAGAAAATAATTGAAAGCAGGGATGCAAACTGATACTTGCACACCAATGTTCAGACCAGCACTATTCACAATAGCCAAAAGGTTGAAATAACCCAACTGTCCATCAACAGATGAAAGACTAAACAAACTGTGGTATATCCATATAATGGGATATTATTCATCCATAAAAGGAATTAAATTCTGATACTTTCTATAACATGAGTGAATTTTGAAAACGTTGTAGTAAATGAAATAAGCCAGAGACAAAAGGACAAATATTGTGTGATTTCACTTACATAAAATATCTATAACAGGTAAATTCACAGAGACAAAGAGTAGATCTGAGGTTGGAATTATTGCTTACAGAGTCTCTGTTTGGGGTGATAAAAGTGTTTTGAAGCTACGTAGAGGTGGTGGTGGCAGAACATTTTGAATGTACTAAATATCACCAAAATTTTCACTTTAAAATGGCTAATTTAATGTTATGTGAATTTCACCTTAATAAAATTATAAAAAGCGAAGGGGAAATAACAGTGCTATCTCATCAGCAGAATATACTAAGGAAAATCTTTTGGCTGAAGGAAAATTATTTCAGATGGAAGTAGAGCTCTACAAGAAGGAAAAAAGAACATCTAAAAGGGTGAATATGCAAACAAATATAAGAGACTATTGACTACTTAAAGCAACACAAAGAGCAATATATTTTGGGGTTTATAATGTGTAGAAGGAAAATATTTTAATAAAAAATGCCAAAAATGTGGGGAAACTAGGAATAGGAGATACTTCCTTAATCCACAGCTTCCTTGAACCTGTAGCTAACACTACACTCAGTAGTGAACTGTGAATACTTTTCTCCTGCAGTTGGGAACAAGACAAGAATGTTGAATGAATCTTCTATTCAACATCGTACTGGAGATCCTGTCCATTCCAATAAAGCAAGAAAAAAAAAATCTCTAAAGACCATAAATAAATAAGTCTTTCTTTATTTGAAAGTGATATGAGTAGATGTGTGGAGATTATATGTGTAAAAGGAACCTACAAATTACATAATCTTAAAAGATACCACGATTTTATTATTTTTTAAAAATATTTTTATTGATTTTTTAAAA